ACTCACTGTGCACCCCAAGGCAGGCTACCTGGCCTCTCTGGGCCCCCGTTCCCCTTAGGATTGTTGCGATTTGGGAGATCACAGAAAGCTAACGGCAGTAATGCACTCAGTGAATGTCACCTGCTGGCGTGTTTTCTCATCCTTGCCTTTTTTCTTTTTAAAAGACTTATTTATTTATTTGAAAGAATTACAGAGAGGCAGAGAGAGAGAGAGAGAGAGAGAGAGGCCTTCCATCCGCTGGTTCACTCCCAAAAGGGCCACAATGGCTGGAACTGAGCCAATCCGAAGCCAGGAGCTAGGAGCTTCTTCCAGGTCTCCCACATAGGTGCAGGAGCCCAAGCACTTGGGCCATCTTCTACTACTTTCCCAGGCCATAGCAGAGAGCTGGATCGGAAGTGGAGCAGCCAGGACTCAAACCAGTGCCCATGTGGGATGCTGGCACTGCAGAAGGCAGCTTTACCCACTGTGCCACAGCGCTGGCGCCTTGTCCTTGCCTTTTTTTTTTTTTTTTTTTTGACAGGCAGAGTGGACAGTGAGAGAGAGACAGAGAGAAAGGTCTTCCTTTGCCGTTGGTTCACCCTCCAAAGGCCGCTGCGGCCGGCGCACCATGCTGATCCAAAGCCAGGAGCCAGGTGCTTCTCCTGGTCTCCCATGGGGTGCAGGGCCCAAGCACTTGGGCCATCCTCCACTGCACTCCCTGGCCACAGCAGAGAGCTGGCCTGGAAGAGGGGCAACCGGAACAGAATCTGGCGTCCCTACTGGGACTAGAACCCGGTGTGCCGGCGCCGCAAGGCGGAGGATTAGCCTAGTGAGCCGTGGTGCCGGTCTCGTCCTTGCCTTTTTTGCTTGTTCTTGAAATACTGTTAGACTTTCTGAATTTAAGAACAGCACGCAGGTCCCTGGTCCCGTCAGGTGCAGTTATCTGTGGGGGCATCGTGGTCCTGGGCCCAGGGCTTCCACCAGGCTGGCCGTGAGGTCCCTCTGCAGGTCTCTGGCCTCCGCAGGGTGGTTGCTCCCTCCCAGGTGCCTGCCCGGGGACTCCCTGTGGACTCCCTGCAGTGCCTCCCCATGGAGGGCCTGGCCACCAAGCGCGCTGTGCCCTCCCCACGTCCTGCCTTTCTTGTTGGGGTCCTGACAGCAGTGCAGTGACTGCAGTGAGGACAGAGCCTCTGAGCTCGCCCTGGCCTGAAGCATGCCAAGCCGTTGTCCCCACTATCTGTTCTGTGTCCTTCTCCTTCCCTCTTGGTCTCTGCTCCGCCCACATCCTCTCTCCTGTTGGCCCGAGGCCCCTGCTCGGCTGGCCCACACTGCTGCCCGTCTCCACCCTCCTGTCTCCTTGCACCCCTCTTCATGACCTCTGCACCCGGATATCTGGTTCTTGGCTCTGCTGCCGCCCTCCCGACCCCATCACCCTGGAGCTGTGGGAGTGCTTCCCAGAGCCATTCCATGTCACTGGAGTCAGCTGTGTCACTGTGGAGCCCAGGTGCTGGCTGGCGGGGCCACTTCTTCCCTCCTGGTCCAGCTCCTCTGATAATGTCCCAAGCGAGTGTCCCCCCAGGAGCCGTTGTTACCAGCAGCGCCCCCAGCCTCCGGCCCTGGAGAGCCGGGTTCCTGGAGAGAGTGTTGGGGTGGGGTTGCCCATTTGCATTTCTAATAGATACCCCAGCACCATGAGGTTTAGGAAGCCTTGGTCCAAGACTGCTGAAGTTCTGGGGTCTGGCATGGTGGCACAGTGAAGTCAGCCACCACTGTGGTGCCAGCATCCCCCTGTTTCAAATCCCAGCTACTCTGCTTCTGATCCAGCTCCCTCATTAATGCGCCTGGGAAGCAGCAGAAGATGGCCCATAGCGCTGTGGCACAATGGGTTAAAGCTGTGACCTGCAGCACTGGCATTCCCTATGGGTGCTGGTTCAAGTCCCGGCTGCTCCACTTCCGATCCAGCTCTGTGCTGTGCCCTGGGAAAGCAGTAGAAGATGGCCCAAGTCCTTGGGCCCCTGCACCCACGTGGGAGACCTGGAAGAAGCTTTTGGCTCCTGGCTTCAGATCAGCTCAGCTCCGGCTGTTGCAGCCATTTGGGGAGTGAACTTGTGGATGGAAGACCTCTCTCTCTCTCTCTCTCTCTCTCTCTTTCTCTCTCTAACTTTTCCAAATAAATAAATCTTAAAAAAAAAAAAAAGAAGAAGAAGAAGAAGAAGATTGCCCAAGTCTTTGGGCTCCTGCACCCACATAGGAGACACAGAGTTCCTGGCTCCTGGCCTTGCCCTGGCTGTTGGAGGAGTGAAGCAGCTGTGTGTATGTCTGTGTCCTTCTCTCTATAACTCTACCTTTCAAATAAATAAAATAACTCTTAAAAAAAAAGAAAAAAGAGAAACCCAGACCTAGACCCTTGTGACTGTGGGGAGAAAGCCTAGGCCCCTTCCCTGGCCTGGGGCCTCAGCTCCACACACTCAGTGCTCTGGGAGGAAGCAAAGCAGAGATTTTAGCATAATTTGATTCTTCAGAAACTGTTCGATACTTGCTGCCCTTTAAATGCTTCCTCTTGCATATGCAGGAGGAGCTGTGTGAGGAAGGTTTGTCTGTGCGGGCTTGTACAGCGCTGATTAGCAAAACCGCGGGCCCAGCTGGGCCAGCTAGACGGCAGGCTTCCCCACGTGGCCAGGAGCCGCGGGGCCCACGGGCCTGGGCACGAGCTTCCCGCTGCCAGCCCCTCATGACAGCAGATGCAGGCTCCGGCACCTGCAGTCCGCCGGCCACTGCTGGGGTTGGTGTAGGATGGGGGGGTGGGGAACGACTTGGTCCCTGTTGGGACATGGGACGTGTTCTACTGACCTGCACCCCCGAGGGACCCGCCCTGCTGGAGGAGTGCTGGCTTCCAGAAACAGCCGTGTGGGAGCCGTGTTGAAGGCATGCCCTTGGAGGAACAGCCTTGCAAAGTCTCTGCGTTTCTCTGAAGCCACGGTTGATGGCTGATGCTGAGATCCACGGCCGGCTACCCAGGGTGTATTGCATGAGGGTCAACTGGAGCATTGTTTTCCAGGAAAAGTTTCTTTCCCTAAAGCTTTCTCTCCAGGAGTGAGGATTCCATAGTCAAGATGGGGCAAAGACTGTCGTGCCTAGAACCAGCCCGTCGGGATACCAGAACACTAAAGATTTGCTTTTCCCTCTTTTTTTTTATTATTATTATTATTATTATCATCATCATCATCATCATCATGATTATTGAAAGCGTGACAGAGAGAGGGAGAGAAAGAGATCTTCATGCCTCTCCAAATGGCCGTGATGGTTGGGACTGGGCCAGGCTGAAGTCAGGAGCCAGGAACTCCATCCAAGTCGCCCACATGGGTGCAGGGGCCCCAAGCACTTGGGCCATCCTACTCAGCTTTCCCAGGCCACAGCAGAGAGCTAGATTGGAAGTGGAGTGGGGACTCGAGCCGGCGCCCATATGGGATGCCGGCACTGCAGGCAGAGGATTAACCTGTTACACCACAGCTCCGGCCCTCTTTTTGGCTTTTTATATATACTAGGGTACTGTTTTATGTCTTTTCTTGGCATTGTAAGGACTTAAAAAATTAATCTGCCAAACCAAAATGAAATTTTAAAATTTTGTGTCTTTTCTAAGTAGCTATTGAATCTGTGGCATTTTCTGAATGATGAGATGATTTTTACATATTGGTGATTTTTTTCCTGTTTTATCTCATTTGAACACTCAGAATTTTTAGCCTGTTTGCTTAGAATACCTTTCTTCAAAAATAAGTATATTGTGTAATGATTCTGTTTTATTTTGTGTTCCTTTGTGGGTTGCTTTGTAAAGTAGATACCTTAAAATATGAAATGTAGTGAAGTGTATTTATAATTTTAATTAATCTACTTTTTTTAAAAAAAGATTTATTTATTTGTTCGAAAGGCAGAATCACAGAGTGGGGCAGAAACAGAGAGAGAGAATCATCCATGCTCTGGTTCCCTCCCTAGATGACCGTAACAAACAGGGCTGGGCCAGGCTGAAGCCAGGAGCCTGGAACCCCATGTGGCTCTCCCACGTGGGTGGCAGGAGTCCAGGCACTGGGGCCATCATCCAGTGCCTCCGGGGCACATGATCAGCAGAGAGCAGCGTAGCTGGGACAGAAGCTGGGCGCTCCAACAGGGGGAGCGGGGTGAGGGTAGGGGTGGGGGTCCCCAGTAGCATCTCAACCTGCCGGGCCATGCCTGTCCCCTGCGTTATTTCTTGATGTCTACTGTCAAGGTCTATCCATTCCCCACTAAAAGGAAAGAGACATAGACAATGTGCTGTGAAAGAAAACAGCAATAGCCAAAGAGGTGGATTTGATCAGCTTTCCACAAAGCTCCGAAGGTGGCTAAGCTGGCAGACTCGGTCAGCAAAGTCGTTAAGTGGTTCTGAACATAAACTAGAGATCCTCCCCAAGGAAAGACGATAATTCCCGTCAATCCCCCAAACATGCTGTGAAGTTGAGCGCTACTTAACGGAAGCCCAGGGATCCTAGGCCGGTTCATGGATAACGCACACTTTGAAAAAGCTAAGCTGGGATTTTGGAGTGATTTGTACCACTAACTCCACTTGTCCCTGAACTCTCTGGGGAACCTTCATATCACAGGAGGCTGCAAATGGGTGGCGGAATGCTCCCTCCCCCAGACAAATTAGTTGCAAAAATTCTAGGTCCCAAATCCTAAGCAGGATGGGGGGGGGCGTGGAGAAGGAGCTGGTGGGGACCCAGAGACACGCCCCCAGGAGCTGCCTTGTAAGCAGATTGCTGGGTGGGCTGGTTCCCCTGCAGCCTCAGGGTGCTGACAGCTAACAGGAGTGTTGGGGGGGGGGGTGGAAACACTCCTGGTGTCTCCTTTCCCTCCTCTCTCTCCTTGTCTTATTTTAATTGTGCTCATGCATATGCATCATTCCCTTTAAGGGACTGGAGGTGGCCTAGAAACCCTCAGTGACACCCAGGGTCCTGTTCCATCAGCTCACACGCCCGTCTCTCCTCCTGCAGAGAACAGCCCATCTTCACCACCCGGGCACACGTCTTCCAGATCGACCCCAACACCAAGAAGAACTGGGTGCCTGCCAGCAAGCAGGCGGTCACCGTCTCCTACTTCTACGATGTCACCAGGAACAGCTACCGCATCATCAGCGTGGATGGGGCCAAGGTACGCGGGCGGAGTTTAGCGTCCTCTGTCACTGTGTGTCCCACGCAAAAGCAGAGGGAAGCAATGCACCCGGCTCCTACCATTGCACACACAAGTTAATAGTGAGGGCAGTGTCTATACAATCGCACATCCTGCTCTTTGCTTCTTCACTTAAAATGAGGACAAATATAAAAAAAAAAAAAAAGATTTCCTTGTTACCACACTGTCTTTTTTTTTTTTTTTTTTTTTTTTGACAGGCAGAGTGGACAGTGAGAGAGAGAGACAGGGAGAAAGGTCTTCCTTTTGCCGTTGGTTCACCCTCCAATGGCCGCCGCGGCCGGCGCGCTGCGGCCAGCGCACCGCGCTGATCCGATGGCAGGAGCCAGGAGCCAGGTGCTTTTCCTGGTCTCCCATGGGGTGCAGGGCCCAAGCACCTGGGCCATCCTCCACTGCACTCCCGGGCCACAGCAGAGAGCTGGCCTGGAAGAGGGGCAACCGGGACAGAATCCGGCACCCCAACCGGGACTAGAACCCGGGGTGCCGGCGCCGCAGGCGGAGGATTAGCCTAGTGAGCCGCGGCGCCGGCCTTTTTTTTTTTTTTTTTTTTTTTTTTTTTTAAGATTTATTTATTTATTTATTTGAAAGAGTTACACAGAGAGAGGAGAGGCAGAGAGAGAGAGAGAGGTCTTTCATCCGCTGGTTCACTCCCCAATTGGCTGCAACAGCCAGAGCTGTGCCAATCTGAAGCCAGGAGCCAGGAGCTTCTTCCGGGTCTCCCACGCGTGTGCAGGGGCCCAAGGACTCAGGCCATCTTCTACTGCTTTCCCAGGCCATAGCAGAGAGCTAGATGTGAAGTGGAGCAGCCAGGATGTGAACTGGTGCCCATATGGGATGCTGGCACTGCAGGTGGCGGCTTTACCCACTACGCCACAGCACCGGCCCCAATAACACTCTTAATTTCTCCCTTATGGTTGGATATTTAAGTGGTTTCAGTGCCTTGCTGTCATGGGTACCTTTAGTTGTTCTTCACCTACCTGTTGCTTGCTTTTGAAGCTGTCCTGTTCCTAGAAATCGTATAAAATATGAACACTTTGTGGCTCCTGATGCTCGTGGCCAAATCACTTCCTAAAAGAGTTGCTTCTCCTGGCGTGCGGGAGAACAGCAGATTCTGCACCCTGGCCAGCACGGGGCGGTACCTCTCGTCCGGTCATGGCCGGCACGGGGCAGTACCTCTCGTCTGGTCATGGCCGGCACGGGGCAGTACCTCTCGTCTGGTTTGGATACTGTTAGGCATGGGAGTTGGTTTAATCAAGTGGTTTGAGAGGATTTCTTGAAATATTTTTTTTCCTGGTGCTTTTATTTTTCTTCCATCTTCCCCGATATTTTTGCCACCTTATTGTGGGAGCAGAAAGAAGAAAGGATGACAGCCGAAGTCTCAGCGAGTCTCTAACAAAATGGACCTGCCGCTTCGTCATCTCTGTCTGTAGTCTCTCCTCATCCTGCTGGGTGCTTAAAAAAAAAAAAAAAAAGATTTACTTATTTGAAAGGCAGAGTGAGAGAGAGGGAGAGGCACAGAGAGAGAGAGAGGGAGAGAGAGAAAATCTTCCATCTGCTGGTTCACTCCCCAGATGGCCAGGTTGAAGCCAGGAACCCCATCTGGGTCTTCAGTGCTGGGCATTAGAATGGCCCGGGTGTCAGCTTCTGCCCCACCCCCAGAGCAGAGGGCATGGAGGCCTGTACCCGAAGGTCCCCCAGGTGAGTCCCCAGAGCCTGTGGGTGCCTTTCAGCCCCTCACATGGCCACTTCTCCCTTCAGCACCACGGACCTGCGGATCAAGCAGGCTCGGCCCCACCATCCTCTTTCTCTTCCTTCCAGTTGTTGCAACCCCTCCTCCTACTCAGAAAGGAAGCCCGGAAGTCCTCATGTGATGGCGAAGGTCTAGGGAGAGGCGGTGGCCTGGCGGAGGACACGCCGCCGGAGAGGCCCAGTTCCTTGGACACCAGCTCCCGGCTCACTGGGTTAGAAGCGCGTCTCGGGAGGCCTAGGGACAGGCGTTCCCAGCTCAGTCCGCCAGCTGATGGTGTGTGGCGGGGCCTGGTGGGCGGCGAGGAAGTGTGGAAACCCCTGGCGCACAGTAGGTCAGGGCCTTGTGTTTGGCCTTGGCTTCTTTCCCGACTGGGAGACGTGGCGATGCCGCAGTGCTAAACCCCCCTTCTCTGCACCTCTGAGCTGGCCCCGCCTGGGCTCTGTCCAGGAGGCCCCGCTGGTGCCTGGGAGTCCAGCCGCCTTGTGTTCCCTGATCCTCTCCGTTCCTCTGTCGGCCCCAGATGGGTTTTGTCAGCTGAGTTATCCCAGGGTGTACTGGGCTTACGTGTAGATAAAACGGCTGCTTGGAGCGAGTGCTTTAGTCCGATTAGCTGAGCTGTCGGTAATTCATCCAAGTGTCAGCTCCTGTGTGGCTCCCGATCTGCAGTCCTTGAAGGCAGTGGTGACGACGTGGGGGAGAAGTCAGTGGGGCATGGGAGGGTGGAGCTGACTCAGGCTCCGTGCAGAGTGGGATGCATTAGAGAAGTCACTTGGGAAGTGGGGATCGGAAACCCCGACCACACAGAGCCCCTGAATTCAGACGTCCAATCGGGGGCTCCCGGGGCCCCCTCCTGTGTGCCCAGCGCCTGTGGTTCCTGAAACCACGCCCCCACCCCCACCCCCAAGCCCCAGCTTTACAACTGCAGTAGAACCCTTGTTCTGTAAGAGGGAGCGAGCAGAGGCGGGGGGAGCCAGTCCGTGGTATAATCCCCGTGACTGTCACTCGGGGATTGGGCGCCCAGGGACAAGTTTCCAGAGGACTGGAGCACGAAGCACTGAGCTGTGGCCCCATCACCCCCTCGCTCCTGCTGGACACCGGTCAGAGCCTCCACCTCCAGCTGCTCCGTGAGATGGAGAGGACCCCAGAGGGCTCACAACTATCGCCACTGCCCCGTGCCCCGCGGCTTGCCCTCCCTACCCTTTGCTGGGGCCCTAACCTAGCTTCTGGCAAGGGAGTCCCTGCTGTGGACTGCCCGGCACGCTGAGTGACCCTGGCACATCGGTACGGTGACTTCCTGCCTGGCATCCATCTGATGCCTTTGCCCGCCCTCCTGCTGCCGCACCCCTGTCCACTCAGCTAGGATCTCATTCCAAGCCTGGGGTCCCTGCTGCCTGTCCCACACAGCCCAGGTCTCGGGCGGGCTGTGGCACCTCCACCAGGTGAATTAGAAGATGCCGACACGGGCTGGGGCTGGGGGCTGGAGGCAGGGGTCCCCGTCTGCCTCCCCCGGCATTGTGTTCCACTGCACTGGGACAACCCCACTTCGGTTTGGACCTTTGTTCCCGATGTGGATCCAAACTGAGACGACGCCTGGTCGGATGCTTTCAGCCCTTGGGGCCATGGGTGGCCCTGCTGGGACCATGAGCAGGTCTCGGCCTGGGTCTTGCCCTTCTGGCAAGAGGTTGAGCCTCTGGTTGGCACTCCCGGGCATGTCTGAGCCTCTCCAGGCAAGAGGCTGTGGCCGGCTAGAAGGGGGACCCTGCCCCACTTGTCCCAAACACACAGAGGAGTTGCTGAGTTCAGTGGCCATTGCTGGTGTGGAAGGGACTTGGAGGTGGCCGTGGGTCAAGGCCGCACTGGCCTCAGCCGCCGTGTGAGCCACAGGTGCACCACGGGCAGTCGGGGGAGCAGAGGCGGGGTCACGGCTGGCAGCATTGGAGGCTCTTGCCCCACCCTGGGTACAGCAGGCTGCTGTGCCGTCCCGCGTTTGTTTTACTCTACTTGGACACCTGCAGGCAAGGCCTCCCCTTCCCCGACAGCAGTGGGCGCTGCTCACATGGGAAGAGCCCGTGGTCAGCCGTCACAGTGTGGCGGGGGTTCCTTCTTCTCGGGTTGGTCCCAAGTGCCACTGGAAGACCCGAATGGTTACATCAACATTTCCCGAGCTCCAGGGGGACCTGTGTGGATCCCTGACTGCGGGAGGCTGCCAGCCCTTGTCCAGGAGGGGGACCATGCCTGGCTCATCTCAGAGTGGACAGTGCCATTGAAGAGGACTAGGGAGTTGTGATGAGGTCACTTCTGGCCGCGTGCTCTGCAGGCCTGCAGCAGGTGCACCACGTCCACAGACTCAGAGTGGGCAGAGGCCGGGGTCACTGCCAAGGGAAACCCAAGGACCAAGACCTTCACATGGGCCCGGGGTTGGCAGTGTTCACGGACAGATGGGAGCCCCAGGAGGGCATCCGCCAGCTTGCAGCTTCTCAGTGCACTGCCGGGAGCCATACGGTACACGCCGGCAGCCGCGTGATTGATCGCAGGTCTTTGGGCAGAACAGCCAGCTCCATCAAGGGGGAAACTCCATTTCTGGAGCATTTGTTAATTGAGCCGTCACGGCGCTGTTGGCTGTAGTACAGGCCAAGTTCATCACCGCCACCTCGGTGAGAGACGGCCTGCGCTTGTGGCAGGTGCTTCTCCCGGGTGCCTGGATGACTCTGCCGCCCTTGGTTCTCGGTGATTCACCGGTTTACAGAAACCTCAGAGGTTTGACAGACCTCAGAGGTCAGCTCTTGTGGGAACACCAGCAGCACCTGCTGTGTCTTGAGCCTCCCTCAGTCGTGGTGGCTGACAACCCCAGAGTGCCTGTGTTTCCTTCTGGGGATGTAGACTTGCTTCCAGGGACCCTTCCGGTCCCCCTCCTCCACCCTCTGCTGTTGTTTCCTCTTCCGATCACGCGTGGTGCACCTGTGGTTATGACAGTGAGTGTGGGGATGGCTCCTAGCACGCGGGAGGTTTTCACTGGCTTTGAAAACAGCATCATCTGTTTCACCACTGTGCTGGAATCAGGCAGCGTGGCTTGTCACGGCTGTCACTCAGCCCCAGCCTCTCACGGGAAACTCTCCCTGGCTTCTGGGAGTCAGGTGCGACTGGAGGCCCCGGGACCTGAGCTTCCCGCTTCGTCCAGGTCGCCCCCAACGGCAGGTGCTGTAGGCACTCTGTG